GCTGGGCTCGAACCACTGAAGTGTCGACCATTTCTGGCCGGCAACTTTCAGCGTCATTAAGGTGCTGCGGAATTACTCTACATTAAACATTGGGGGGAAATACCAAAGGGCCTTTTCCCAGAACCTACCATTTGGTTTTGAGCTATTATAGGTAGTCCTCGCTTAACAACCACAATAGGGACTGGAAAATTGGCCGTTAAGTGGGGCAGTTGTTAAGCGAATCACCACGATTGGACCCTGTTTTTACAACCATATTTACAATGGTCATTAAGTGAATCACGTGGTTGTTAAGCAAATCATGATCATGTGACTGCAAGGGGTGGTGTGACGGTCATAAGTGCAAGTACAGGTTGTAAAACACTTCTGAGGCTGTCATAACTTTAAACCATAGTTAAACTAATGGTCATTAAGCAAGGACTACCTAATTCTAATGGCTTGGGGCACAAAGAAAATGAAAACCTGGTGCCTCCTGGATATTAATTAACATTTGAGCAGCGTCTCAAGGAGGCTGTGCATGAAGTAGAGGTTCAAGGGTGGCAGCTGAACACACAGATATTGAACATTAAGCAAAGTTCAGCAATTTCAGCTCCAGATCTTTTGAGGTGAGAACCCAGCTAAGTATCTTTCACGCAGCCCTTGGGCAAGTAATCAACATCTAGAACACCCCAGTGACTGACAAGGACATGAAAAAGTCAAGTGGGATCCAGATAATAGCCTCACAAGCAGCTGGTCACCTGGGCAGCCTGTCACTTTTGACTGGTTGCTTCAGGCAGTTCAAGCATCTATTCATCAGGAGGGAGCAGAAGCGCAAAGGGGCAGCTGCAGTGGGCAGTGATTGCTCAGAATTCCTTGGGAATCCTAGGACTTACAGCAACAGGACCAGGGTACCAGTTTTGCTCTCAAGGGTGGAAAAACTGGCCCCACAACTAAATGCGCATGCAGGTCAAGGTGATGGGATGTGAGGGCAATCTGGCTGTGACATATGTCACCCCACTGATTGCCAAGTTGCCAGGGTTGATTCGGCTGATTTAGCTGGCTAGGCAGGTGTCCCCTTCCTCCCTCACTGCTCCACGTGTGTCCCTCCTGCACTCAGTGGAAGAGGACAACCATCCCAGATAGAAGGAATGTACTGTTCTTCGGTCAAGGATATATGGTAGTTGTGCTCCCCTGCTAGAACCTCCAAACAAGCTCAAGGTCAAGGTGATGTGTGCTCCCAGAGAATACAGTGGTACCTCAAGTTACGAATGCCTCTGCTTACGAGTTTTTCGTGTAACGACCAGCTCCGGCCCCAAAAATTTACCTCGTGTTGCGAACCACCTCGAGTTACGAACCGGATCCGCGGCCATTTTCCCTCCCGTGATATGTGGTCCGCGGCCATTTTCCGCCTGACACGTGGTCCGCGGCCATTTTTCCACCCGACACGTGGTCCGCAGCCATTTTTCCGCCCCT